TACTAGAAGTATTCTAAAATGTGAGGAATACAACACCGGGGGTACAAAATGACCCCTGGGCGTACGGATAGGGTTAAGCTCATCCAGTGGACCCCGGGTAATTTGAGTTTGAAATCTCTGTCTGCCTTACACCGAACTGAATCTGTTTCATTTCCCTCCAGATAAAGACGAATGTGCAGACGGCAATGGAGGGTGTGTCCAGACATGTGAAAACGCAGCCGGAACCTTCCACTGCGCATGTCACGACGGTTACGTCATAGATGACGACGGCATCTCCTGCAATGGTGACGTATCAAATTGCAACATCAGTGCTTTTTTGTCGTATCTCCATTTTTTTAACATTGAAGATGTGACTTCTTCTAAAGTTCACTCTTTGTAATGAACTGTTTTCACAGTTGTGAAAAATGTAGACAAGACAAGAAAGCTCTGAGGTCGCGAAAGAGTGTTGGTTTTTGTTAGTTGTTTTTTGTGGGGGGTTTTGTTGGGGGGGGGGGTTCAAACACTTGATTTATGTTGTTAAGACGTTCTTGTGTATTGCTTTCTCAAAACAATTATGGTAAAAAAAAAAATGCAACATTGCTATCTGATTCACCTAAATCTCAGAACATGTGCATTTTCAAAGAGCCTTACACACGCAAATCTATTCTTTCTGACGCTCAGGGGTGAAATCGTCGGGCTAGTAGCATTTGAGCGGCTAAAAGGGTGGGTCACTGTATGTCCTAGGGTGGGTGGGGGGAGTGTTGAGATGATCAACTTGAATGAACATAGCAACAATATGAATATTCATAAAGCTGAGCAAGATTTCAATAAAATACGATGTAAGGTATAATTGTGTGTCGTCACAGTGGTGAAATCAGGCGCTTGTCATAATGATGAAAACGAAGAAACGAACATTTTATCGCCTGATGGGCAATTGTATTCGATTTTTAAATTTAAAAAAAAAAATTTTTTTTGGTGGGGGGAGGGGGTGGGGCTCAAAGCCTTTTACGTCAATTCAAAAACACATTTCTGTTAGGATTTTGCTGTTCAACATTGATCAAAGGAACGCAATAATGTAGATGTACCTTTTCCAAACCGGTTGGCCGTTGGATGCACCATTAGGTTCTACTTTTTTGTGTGTTTCCCTCTGTTGTTTCTGACTCTTCTTTCATACTTTCTTCCTGCGCTAAATAACGGTGGATGGTTGGTGAGTGCTCTGGTGTGGTTTGCCCCTTCATTCCCAGTAAAAAATCTATCGTCCTAATTTTTGTTTGTTTGTATGTTTCTGTCTCTAGTAGTTACACATCCATTCTAGGCATTTATTCGACCTAACTTTGTTGAAAGCGACGTAAAACCGCTTACGAAAACCAAACCAAACTTAATCACCTGCCTAGTGTCAAAGTTCTTTTGTTGACTCAAACCACACAGCAAATCCTGTCTTGTTTTTCACAACCAAATCCCGTTAATATAATATTTGTGTTTACTGTACGTATTTTTCAGACGTGAATGAATGTCGCGTGGTAAACGGAGGCTGTGAAGACCGATGTACCAACGCCGTGGGTTCCTTCATGTGCAGCTGCTCACACGTGGGCTTTGTTCTCGCAGATGACGGATTTTCTTGTAGGGGTAAGCGATGGTGTGAAC